GCGTGCGTGTGTATACATTCTACACACCACTCTGCACAACTATGTGTAAATGGTCGCTGTATAAGTCTAATAGTAATGTTGAGAACTTTGTGCGTTCACTCGCTCTCTTGGTCCCACCTTGTAATTTACAACAAACTTGGAAGACGCAGTGCGGTTATGCACGGCTGCTTTTTCCGACCAATCGGATTGGTAGACACCGCTTATTGAAACATTTATGCTAATGATTTTATGTACGGACGGCAGAATAATTTTACAGAGTACATTTTTTCGTAAAAATCGCTCAGCCGAAATATGCGGTACAAAAGATAATTCTAAGACGTACGCCACGATTGTACGGAACGCAGGGACGACGGGAATCTGCACGACGGTTTCTATCGGATGAAGCCCACGCACCTGCTTCTCGTTATCGTTTCGCCATCGATCGATTGCCAAAGATATGGCCGCGCAAAAGCGCGTGGGCGAGTGGCAACGAAAGAAAGCTTATACAGATGGGCACGGATAAGACGAGGCAGAAAGATGTGCGTTCGTGTTGGCGTCGCACAAAAGAGAGAGAGAGAGGGGGGAGGGGGGAGGAGGAAAGGAACGAACTGGATTTTGCGTTCTTCGCGGATCTCATTTTCGTGGCGTTATCGCTGTATTTTCAAGCGTGATCGGCTCTCGGCAGGACCAGTCTGACCCGAATAGACGCCGTTCCAGGAGACTAATGTTGCGAGAAGCGACAATTTCTCTCTATACTTCGACGACAGACACTGCACGAGTTGTACTTTCCCGATAAAATATTACACGGCACTGCCGCTTGCGCATTCATGAATGATTGGCGAATAAAATTCCGTGATCAGGTGGCGCGCATTCAGATGTGCATTCAGAGAAAATGCACATCGGCGTCGTCGCGAGGCCATCCGAAAGTAACGCGCGCGGGAGAGAAGAGAATTGTAAAAGAAAGGAACAGAAGGCGCGAGCTCGATATACAGTGAAAAAGAAGAAGAAAATATATAAGGGTGGTAACATAGCTCGTCGTGCGGCTGTCAGTAGCTCTCTGACCAACCCTACAACGTTAGTAGGGAGAGAGAGGGGAGAGGCGGCTACAAGCTTTTCTACTTAGCGCGCGCGCTCGGCGAAAAGGGGGAGGCGAAGGCGGCAGCGCCTAATTGCGTCCGAGTAGAGCGGACAAAGCGGTGTGTGTGGCTGTGTGTGCGCGCGCGCGCGCGCGAGCCAGTCGTCGTCCGGTTCCGGCCTCCTGCCCTCTGGCGCTCGACATGCTGTACTACAAAGTTTCCAGCCCAGAGCTGAATAAACTTGGACCTTGTCGCCTATACCACCCTCCCTCGTCCTTGCGATCCTTATACCAAGCTCTCGCTCTCTTTTTTTCTCTTCCTAAAAGGGCTCTGTTTTGATTACGCTGCTTGTGCTTCGAGTTCGGCTAGGCCCTGCGAGCTTGTTTACAGATGGTACCGTGTGATTATACGTCTTACAAAAAAAAAAGAAGTGTGCGCGTTGAGTTTCGAGTTCGGACTAAGTTTTCATTGTAATTTTTTAAATTTCGTTGAAAAGTTGTAAACGCAACGATATTCGACAACAAGCATTTTTGATGACATAAGCTGATGGTTTTCAGAAAATTTTTTCCACCCACAAATAAAATCATAAAGATATCAGCCCTCTCCCCTTTGCTCGCAGCATTTTCGACCATATTTTTTCCCGTTCTTTCTCCCTTTCAGCATTAGTCTCCTAAAACCCAAAGGTTTATATTCCGCATGGTTGTCCGAGACCGCAGCACGTTTTTCCTCGCGGAAAAAAGAAGGAGGAGGAATGAAAACGTGGGCGACGACGGACGCGCAAAACCGTGAAAAGCCTCGGCCTTTCAATGTCACGTGGGGAAATGGAAAGATCCCGGAGAACTTACGTCGTCGTCGTAGTCGTCGCCATCCGTCCTTTTACTTGATTCACTCTCTCTTTCCCTCTCTCAACACGATGCTCTTTGCTTTTCTTTTCTACTTTTTCTCTGTATACATGTATTTTTCTACACGGAGAAAAATTTCACCGGAAGAATTACGGTAATAGACAGCTAACGTAGGAACATCGCAGCCGTGCAGTTTTTACGAAGAAATTTACGTAAATTTTACGGCGACAAATCCGTAATATTGTTAGAGCATTCAAAATTTATAAAAAGAACTCGTAAAAGTTCTCGAGATTCATTGTATTTTCCATCATATTACGACTGTAAAATTTGCGGTGACGGTTACACATTTTTTCTGTCTCACCAGCAGTTTTGTAATTTCGTTTTAGCTTTTATAACAACAAACATATTTGAAAAAGTGAAATAATCTCTTTTAAAAATATTAAACAGTTTGATATCTTGCTAAATTCGCATGATATTATCGACCGCATGAAAACATAACCTCTAACGTTTCTCAAATGTTTGGATACTTTTATAGTAATTGTAATTTCTTGATCAAAACTGATAAAACATACATTCGTTAACAATTTTTTCATGTTTGTAACACTGAAAAGTTAAACATCATAATTTTAATATTTTTATAAGAAAATTTACAAAGTATAAAAAATAGCGCTCTATTCAGCTAGTGATAGATTTAATAAACGTAATCTTCATTCTTGCATGATTTGTCGTTCAATAAAAGTGTTTTTGTGATTAAACCTTCTCATGTGAATCATTATTATAAAAAAGAATTTAAGCTTGTGATAATGAGTTTGTTGAAAAATTCCGGGTGCACGTCAAATTAAACAGTTACACGGAAGTTTTACGATGACGGCTTTAAATTTTACGGGACTATCATCTATAAAAATTTTCCTTATATATCTTAATTATTACAGACTCATCACTCTCGTGTCTGGATGACGATGCGTCACCATAATTTTTACCCTGATCATTTCTGCAATTTTTACGGGCGAATTTCCTCCATGTATATTCTTTATGCGCTCGCTGTAAGAGGATTATGGAATTATATTACGTTTTATTTTTCACCTAGAAAAACGAGCAAAGAGTATAATTGATATCTTGAAAGATTTCTACATTTTATCATGAAGCAATATGTTCTGTGGATGGTTTTTTAAAATTTATTTATTTATTTTCTCGAAGAGAGAGTAACTTTATTTTCAATTTATTTGAATCGATTTTGTGATATCGATCATTTTAATGTTGCGATTTCGTATTATGTGACTAAATAAGCATCGAAATCAATCAACACATTTGTAATAAAAGGCATGAATAACTTAAACAATGGATAATTAAAGTTTTGAAGTATGTGCAACGTGGAATCAATTGACCATAACTGCTATTGTTAATTGAAATGAAAATGTAACAATAACGTTTAGAGATTTCATTGTTATTCGATTTAATTACTAATGGCCTGTAAACCTACCCTAATTAACAGTAGCACCCAATTACCAATATACATACAATTTTTGCCTATCGACAAATCAAACGAACCTTATTAACAATAGCAATAACAGAATAACAAGTCCGCATTAACAATAACAATGAGCTTGGTAACAAGCACACCAATTACCTTTACCCCCTCGTCCAGCCTTCAACGAAAAGAAAACAGAAAAACGAAGAGCCAGAGATAGAGGCGTTAGGTCCGGAAGTGGGCGCCGAGGGCGCCTCCTGCCAGTGTACGGGGCGGAGTTGCCAGTCGTTCAGCCTTTCTCTCTCTCTCACTCTTCGCAAATGCCCCTCCTCTCTCTATCTATACAGTCGCGCCTTGCTCCCGCACGGAAAAGAGAGAAAGAGGGGCGCCAGCTGCTGCGCCGCGGCGATGCGCTTCGCGCCACTTCGCTTTTTAGAGTCGACGATCTCGCCTACACTGCTCTCCTCGCTCTCGCGGCTATAGACGACTTTTTCCCCCCGTTTCACTTGTTTTGCCAACTTCTCGCTCGATTTTCCCGGCTGGCTATTGGACAGCAAAATATTTTGCTTATTCGGATGGCTGCGTCATGAGCGTTGGAGAAGCGCTGAGCGAATACGCGGCAAGAAGACTTCCTGAATAATACAATATCTTTGATTGCCAAGTTATCAATAATTACACAAGTGCTTCAAAAATGTATATTCTTTTGCGCTCATGACTTGTTGAGATAGCGCTGAAAAAGGAGCGGGAAAGTAGTTCAAAACTAAACATCTTATAAAAACTTTAGAAGAATCGAAAAGCATATTAGGAACAAGCAGCTGTCCGACGGCAATTTAGTCCTACATCCTCGAAGCAAACCATAATTTATTAACGTGTATTAGTTCATAGGTAAAATAAACACAGGCCAAAAAGACGCTATAATCGAGAGAACTGACCCCTGGCCACCCCTCCAAAAGGAAATGCTCATAAAACCTCGCGTATATAGAGCATAAACAAACCATCGTCGACCGAACGAAAAAAAACTCCGCGGGAGAGATATAAAAAGCCCGTGGCAAACCGACAAAAGAAAGCCACAAAACGCCAGGTTTCGAAACGACGTCGGCAATTCATCGCAACGATCTCCGGAGAGAACTGTGCACAGGCACCTTTTCAAGCCCGCGGCGGGCAGATCAATAAAACGCTCGGGCAGAGCGCTTCAACGCGGCGCAACAAAAAGAGAGAGAGCGAGAATTAAACTCGTATCAGGATATGGAGGGTTGCAGCACGAGATTCAATTAGACGCGATGATTAATTATATAAAGGCCGAAAGTCAGGCGTGGGTGTGTATAGAAATCGAGTGTAAAGAAAGGGTTTGTCGACTGCTGCAGATGTTTCGAATTATTAAATTGCCAGCGCGCGTTTTATCGCCAAGTCTTGTGCACTCTTATTTCAAGAAGTTATACTCCGAGACGAGGGAGTGTGGCGCGCGGCAGCTTGTTATGTATGGGTTTTAATAATACAAGGACTTGCTCTCGCGTGTTTTACATATTATCTGCCAAGGCTTTTTATGCGACTCGCGCGCGCCACGGCAAATTCCCCAGCGTTTTCGTTTAGCCGCTCGCTCGCGCGGCACAGAAGGTTATGCAGCGTTATGGCGAGCTGGCAAGAGGATATTGGATTTGTATTTTCTACAGTGGCGTAGACATGGTTAGTAACAACTTTCGAGAAAAACTTTATTTCGAAATCAAGCTGCCATATCTGATACACAAGTTCCAGCCAAGCTGTAAAATCCCTGATCCCGATAGGTCAACACATTTGCAGCTGTGTGAGAGTTTCAAGAGGGGAATCAAACATTTGCAATGATGGCGTTTGATCGATGTCCCGACACACAACAGCGCCAGGCAACCTACTGAAGCGCGCGCGCGGAAAATGTCCGACGGAACTTTGAAAAAGGGAGCGATGCAAATGATTCAGCACTGACTGACAGCCATCTCATCTGTATTAAATGAAAATACGAATATTATTTGACTAATAGTGCGATTTGCATCGGGCGACAAAAATTCCGAAACTGTGAGTTATATCAGCAGCCTATATTAAAAGGGAAGCTCGTAAAAAATGATGCCCGGCAATTCTTCGTTATATGGAACACGAGGAGCTCGACTGACACTTGGCCGAGGTCCCGCGATGAATGCGGACGTTATTATGTTGTGCGAGCCATATACGCGATGAATAATGCCTTGCAGGTTCATTTAGCTCTGTGCGGGGAGATGTTTGACATTGTTTGACGACCGTCTCTTCGAGCGAGGATGTAACAGGCTGTAAAATACAATTGGTTCTATCGTGCATTTTCGGACACAAAATTATCATTTGATTGCGTGCGTGCACCTAAAACTTTAACTTAGTTTCTCGTCTTTCAGCTAACTCTAGAATGTCTTTTACGTTCGACGTGAATTTATCGAAAGAACATAATACGTCAGGGCACCCTGGTAGTTGTAATTCCAAAACTGTCGAGTTGCCAAGGTAATATAATACCTAGAAAAGAGAATCAATCAAAACAACGACAAGGCCCGTAATCCACATTTAAATACAGTAAAATATATAGCGAACCCTTACTTTAACGTAGTATGCGTCAACTTCTTTCCAAAGTTCGATTATCACAGCACTGGAATAAAAAGGTATGTGCGTTTTGTACGTGTTCAGAGCTTTCAAAACACCAACAATATTCGTTTCGTGAGCACTGTACAGCAATAGTTTGGCGCGTATTTCTCTCGTTTCGCTCTTCATAGCTAACATATTTCGTTGTATTTCCAACATCAATTTACCTTAAATACAACATCCAGTTAATGTTACTTCTATGATTATTGGCAACAGACGACCCACCAGCAACAGATTCGGTAACATTAGTGTCATAAGTAATAATGTCATAAAACAGAAGTGCAGCTTCGGACAATTTGCCATCGGGAAACATATCAGCCGCCCAGCTAGGCAAGCTTAAATTCATCATGTCTTCGCTCAAAAGAGTATCGTATATCTGCGTTATATCGAAACTTCCGCTGATATTCTTGCCTGTTAATTTTGTTAGTTGAGACATGAATTCGCTTAGGTTCCTGAAGCGTGCTTGAATGTCCGGTAACATGGCCACCCGAGTTTTCTCTGCCAAATAACTTGTCGTTCAAAACAATTAATTGTACGATTATTCTTCAATTGGAATTTTTTCACACTACACTCACCGGGGCTTCGAAGTTGTCGCCAAAAGATCGTCTCGAGGTATAGGCACGTAAGAAAAAGGAACAGGCTGCCAATCCAACATTTCATGCCACTTTTCCAAGTAAGATGGTCGAAAGAGGGAGGCGAGAGCAAGTTGCAGACTCATTTTTGTTCGAGCGTAATCAGTGCTACGCGCGGAAACGAGCTCTGGGTAGTAAACGTCGCCCAAGAAATTTTGATATTTTTCACGTAGGAACTCTCCCAACTTGTACATCCTAAGCTTGCCAGACTGAAAGAAAATCAAAATGAATTTTCAGACAAAGCGCACGAACAAAAGTCTAAGAGTACGTACGTTGGTCAATCCTCCGTGACCTATGGGAAAAAAATCGTTGTGGTAGTTAGGGTCAGTTGGAAAGATAGCTTCGGCGTTAGGTGTGCGATCGCCGTGCCGAAAAATCTACAACGATAACAATTTATTCGACGCGCCTGAGCCTATTAAAAGAAGCTTTGTCATCCGCTTACGACGCTCAACAACTGCAATTCCGGTTTCGAGTAGCAAGTTCCGGGCAAACAGGACAGCACCGCGCCAACTATCAATGCCGAATGGAGCACCTTCATCTGCAACGAAAAGTAACAACATTGTGTTTTTTTCGTCGCACTCAATCATTCAGTTGGATCCTAAATCTCCACTCGACGCTCATATTCGCGCGGTAAAAAGAAGGCCTTAAACAAATAGGTGTGCAAAGCTCGCGTATCCTTGAAGACAGTAAAAAAGAAGTCGGTCAATTTTCCAGCTGATCTCCCCGCATGTCAATCCACTCGAGCGCGCGCCCGGGGCAGCGCACGCGTGCCTGCGCCCCGCGGGAACAAAGAGTAGACCGCCGATGCGTCGTCTTCTCCTGAGTAAACAGCACTAAATAGGAGCGGACTGTAATATTCAGCTGCGGCCCCGACACTCCCCGACACTCCTATTATACGCAGCCGAAAGCGCTGAAACATTAAAAATCATCTGCAAAAGTCTCTGCCCTACAACGGTACGACTATATAGATGCTACTTAGAGACGATGCGCCGAGGCGTGTTATTCTTTCGACACCCCTTAGGGGAATTAGCAGCGGAAGTACGTTGTAGCTTTGGAAGCTGCCTTGTATACTTTTTCTCGCGCGAGCTGTTTGAGGTGTTCGAGGTATTTTAAGGCTACACAATGATCTTTTGGAGAGTTGCTGGCTTTGAAACCAACGACGAGTGATACTCGTTTTTTTCTTTTTTTTTTCGAGCAAGGGTTTTTTTGTAATAAAATGGATGAGTACTCGGAATCGCCTTTCTTCGAACAAGTCTGCTAAGTACAGATTTTTGAAAAATTTAGTGTCAGATGTGCACTAGTAATGATTCATCGGGCAGCTCGTCAAAAAGCTCGTCAAAAGTTGTAAAAATCAGATTTCCAGTGAATGTGTACGACTTGATAAACGCGAGAAATCTATGGCTAGTGTGTAGCTGAAAAATACATGTTCCTTACCTTCGCGTGTATTAGTGTTGAAGGCAGGCAACTGTCTTTGTTTGCAAAATTCAAACGGAAATTCGAAAAATCGACTATGCGATTACAAAATGTTAACGATTCGTTATCGTGGCACGAACTAGTCATTGTACAACACACATGTAACCTAGACGTGCTCTTGCCTTAACTATTGAAAATAACGTCGTCACTGACACAGTGGATACCGCATCACTTGCGTATATACCAACGAGTGGTTTTCTTATCTAATCTGCGCTGGGTATGATGAAATACTATTGTCTCGTATAACGTATGTTATCATTGGAAATGCGAATCATCGACTGGTACTGACTAGTAATAGAAGGTTCTACGAGTATTCTATCATCAGGACGGTTCGGGAAGACAAACATCGAGATGTATAACAATAGTTTTGAACGAGCATGAAAACAAAGCGTGTTTTTCACTCGTCGATAACCAGTCAACAAGAAAGAGGAGGCAAAATGCAAGAAAAACGCAGCGCGCGTCGCGTAAATATAGCACAGCGAGGTGAACAATTCCCGTAGAATAAGCCATGAAAAAGTTCGTTCAACTCGTGCACACAACTGCGGGCTCGCATTCCGAGGCTGTGCTGCCGCTTCGCGCGCTCGCCAACTTTTTCAATGAAGATTATAGCCGAGTCGATTTGACTGCTCGCTCGGCGCTGTCTAGCGCGCCTTCGCTTTTCATTGGACGAGCGGGACGAGGACGCGCCTGTCGCCGAGGCTTCTCCACTCCTCAATTTTGCTCGCTCGACCGGAGCCTCGCTCTCGGAGTATCTGGTGCTCGCGGGCACCTTCGCGCAGCCTCAAAAGAGAGCCGGGGCCAAGCGAGTTTTGAAGAGGTAACGCGAAATCAATGACTCGAACGAGCCGCGGCAAGTGATTTCAATAGGCGCGCGCGCGCCTCGGCAAACAAAATATTAATCATCGGCACGTTGATCGCGCGCATGCGTCGCGCACTCGGCGTCTCTCATCTCCGTCCCGCTCGGCCCGACGCAACAAAAGTTATACACGCGCAGCCGTCGCTCCGGCAGAAAAGGAGGCTGACCTGGACGCGCGCATAATAGCGCGGACTGACGTCTCAATGAGCTCGCGAGGTGAGCGTAATTGGTTTGGTTTGCGACGGCACAATCGATTTGTTAGGGACGCGAGCGAGATTTCGCATTGTGCGCGGCCCGCGCGCGTCGACTTGGGATCACAATAGCCGAGTGTGGCGCGTGAAGGTGTGTCGAACGGCCGTAAGGTGAAGGAACTCGGCGCCTTTTTACCCGCTGATTGATCGCGCGCCGTCCGTTCTCGGCCGCGCTCACTTCCCATTTCTACGTTATGCGCGTCTTACCAGCTGCTCGATGGCGAATCGCCGGAGCGCCACTTCGCAATCGGCTGTGATGACGACCGGCGAGCTCCGCTCGGCTCGCTATCGAGGGAAATCGAGAAAGCCGCGATACGAGCTGCTTGAGTGACGCGATGACGCGGCCGACCAGGTCACAATGAGCTGTTTTTAAAATGTCAGCGATGCGCGCGCATCGGCTCACAAAAGCCCATCGGGTGCGCATTATTTACATTAAACATTCAAGTCACAGCGCAACTCGCTTTGCCCAGCGCCGCAAAGAACGTGCGAGCGCGCACATCGGCACAAAAAGCAGGAGCGGGAGGGAAAGAGAGGAGAAGAGGCGGCAGTGGCGCGCGGTGAAAGCTTTTTAAAGCAGGTGATATTGCAGACGCGCCGCGCACCAACGGCATATAATTGAGAGCGACAGAAGCGCGCCGAGGGCAAAGGGGAAGCGATCATTCGGAAAAATAAAAGTCAATCTGCCCGCGCCACGTGTGCATGCGTCGTATCCGGATAATCGCCCGCGCGCCCGCGCGCAGACACCCATTCTATTGACTGTGGACTTTGACGTTTCCCGACAATTGCAAATAAATCTTGACGATATTCACGATGACAAATAGAAACGCTTGATTTTCTCTTTCAACCGTTTGACGAGTATACGTTTTCACGAAAGTCTATTTGACGAATGATAGACAGAAGCACTTTTCAAAATATCACGTGGACTTTTTTCGTAGCAGCTTAGCTGCGTGTTCGTTTGAGATTTTATTTGGTTGTATCGAGATGTAATCTATTTTTAATTTCCAGTATTATTTCAATTTTTGACTTGTCTTAAATTTAATGACGAATGATTAATTGTGAGAAACAGTTAACAAAAATTGCACGTTCGTCACAATTAATCACAATTAGTAAATAGCATCAACATAAAGAGGTCAAGCAAAAATAATTTTATGACAATGCATTTGATTTCATTCAATGATAGAACTGTTTAGAAATGAAACTGCTCACGATTTTATCAGATTAACTTTGCAAATAAAACGATATAAACACGAGTATTTTCAAGTAAACGTAAGTTTCAAAAATTTGATTAGCGCTATTCGTTTACATTACGAAGTTCACTTCGAGTAAGATTTTTAAAAAATATTATTTTTTTGTGTATTTAAAAGTGATTATAACAATAAGTACTGCTAATAATAAAGAAATCAGTTGTCATTGATTTGTACCTATCGAACTTCTTCCAAAGGGGTAAAAAGGCTAAGGTGGTCAATTAATGGAATCTTGGAAAGCTCAAATTAAGAAACTCGAGGAACACCAAAATTGCTTTCTTGAAGAGAAGTTGTGGAGTAAACTTGATCAAACCAAGAACCTGGGAAAAGCTACGATACTTTCGTAGTTGAAGGTAGTTTCAAGAAGCATGATCTTGATAAAAATTTACGTCATATATCTATGGATTACTCTTTAATATGAGTTGATCCACATTGTCCTGAATGTGAGTTTTCTACGTAGTCAGACGTATCAAAATTGACATTGTAGTTATAAAATTTACTTTGTTATATAAGAACTTACAATGACTGGAAAAAATTGATTTTTTTCTATTCCATAATTTGGCAAAAAATGAATAAAAAGCAATTTCATATTAAACTGTGTAAAATTGACTTTGGGAACCCAATCAAACTTTTATGATTATCACGCTCAGCACTCAACTTGATAATGAACAGCTATATTCCTTGCCGAAAATCAAAGTCATTCTAAATGCAAATCAATCACTCAATATCCGTTTTAGTTTTAACATGGCTACAATTTGATATTTAAGTACATGCATAAACGCGTTACTGATACTAGTTACAAAATATTAATTATTATTTCACCTAATCAAACACCATTGCTAACGACCAAAGTTATTGTTCTCTTTTTATTGCACAAAAGGAAAATATGCAATCACATCGAAATATTATTTGATATAATCGTATAAAAGGGGCATATTAAATTTCAAATTCTGACGCGTGTCTTGGTATCAAGCTCGCCTAACTTCTACTCTTCCATTTCAATCAGTATTTTTACTGTAGCTTCGCTCTTCTCTCTCTCTTTCTCTCTTTCTCTCTTTCTACCTTTCTCTTTCATATCCTTTTCCTTTCTGCATGCACAAACACATCGCGACGTCGCATTTAATTTCGGACGTACGGAAATGACAAGCATTTTGATCAAACATTTGACAAACACTCGTGCGAGGCAGTTTCTCTCTCTCTCTCTCTCTCTCTCTCTCTCTCTCTCTCTCTCTATCTTTCTCTCTGGGCCAAAACAACTCGACTGCGCGCTTTGGCAAATATAACATATAACGAGAGAGAGAGAAAGAGGCGTTATTTTGCTACTGTCTGCGCAGCAAAGTTGCCCGGGCTGCATAGCATTCGGGGCGCGACAAGCTCAGTTTTCGGGTTCTCCTTTTTTCGTGCATGGCCTTCCGCTTTGGTATATTATTTACGAAGCTACGCGTGACGCGAGGTTTTTTTAATTAACGGCTGTTGGCGTGAGCGCGCAGGGATATTGAAAAAATAAAAGACAGTTCGAAGCGAATTGATGAAAGCTTCGACGAGACATTTTTTCTTCTTTTTGACAGGCCTTTTTTTATCATTTTTTTTAAGCTCTGCGCGATTTCCATACGCAACGTTGTATCTTCAAAGAAAATTGTATGTTTTTTTCAGGAAAACAATCTCTCTGCGTGCGATGCTTTTATTTTGCAATCTTTTTTCTTCGGATTAAAATATCCTTTGATTGCATTTTTGGAACGTTATCGACTTTGAAAACATCGATAGAGCAAATAGACTGGAATGGATTATATTGAAATACAAAAGGTTAATGAATTTGGGACAGAAATGCATATTTTAGCCATATACTTTGTGCCTAAGGCAAGTGTTTTTTGACGCGCGAACAAGAACTGAAAAGCTGAGTGTGAAATAAAATGCGTGTAATATTATTGCCAACAAACACTGAAATTAATATTTCAATCGTCACGAAGCAGCGAATCCCGCAATCCCCTTCTGACGAAAAGTGAGGAAGAAAAAAGCGACTCCGAAAATGAAAGAGTAGGAGCCGTGCAACCTTTCCCACAGCGCGCAGGCGAGCAAAGTTTGAGCAGTACGGGCGCGCGCGCGCGCGCGCGTGCGTGCAAACTGCTCTCTCGCGAGGCACAAGAGGCATAAGAGGCATGCAGGGCTCGTGGAAGAGGGCGGCCCTCCGCGTTGCTGCAGCACCGGCGTCAGCAGGCCTAAATAGAAACGTCACGAGGCTCGTGTAAGTGGCTTGTCCAACATTTTGATTAACACGTCTCGCAGACTCGCGCCAGCCGGCAGCTCGGCCCAACTTCTCTCTTTATCCGGCTAACTCTCCCTCTGCCGTACTCTCTCTTTCTCTCTGGCTCGTGCCTTCTATTTTGCCGTGCACGCGGGGGCGTCGAGCTTGGGATTAAGACTAAGTCACATCGTCCGAGGATCGATCGAAGCTCTCTCTCGAAAGATTAGCTCCATCATGCTCGAGGTGAATCGACGACGGAGAAGGAACTTTGATCGCATGATTTGGCAAATGCACGCCGCGGCGCTTCGAGATGCGCGTGACTGGTGGACTCTGCCAGCTAATCGATCGCCAATGTGTTTTTTAGCGAGCCGGATTTTTTAGGATCGGCCGCGCCCGCGCGGCTCTCGCTGCGCGATGCGATCAAAAGCTCTCGCGAGTCACTTCACATGCGAGCCGTACAAACGCGTGCGAAAGAAACGCGCGGATGTAATAT